GAACAGCAGCAGACAGGAGGCATCTGCCTGGTTTTGGAAGTAAATGGATGTGTGGTTAGTTACTCTCCCAAGCGGGTGGAGAAGCTGAAATCTAAGTGCCTGCAGAGAAGGCAGACGAAAGAGCCAATTCACCTGGCCACAGGGCTCTGGAAAGACTCAGGAGTGGGAGGGACCCGGTAGGGGTGAGGAGTAGAGCTCCAGGAGCAGGTTGACGGTAAAGCTACAGGTTCATGCCCTGGCCAGCTGGCTCAGTTGGTTAAAAAATTGTCCCATACACCAAAAGGTTGCAGGTTTGATTCCTGGTCAGGGCACATAACTAGGTTGTGGGTTCGATCAGGGGTCAGAGTGTGTACGGAAGGTGACTGATCAATGTTTCTCTCTCACATTGTTGGCTCTCTCATTCTCACTCTCACACACACACACAATAAAAAAGGCATGTCTTTGGGTGAGGATTTTAAAAAAATAAAACTGCAGGTTCACAAAATTCCTTCCCCCAAATTCCCTGAAATTAACAAAAGTGGAAAAATAACAAATCATGTCATCAACCCTGAAACCAAAAAGAGATCTCAACTTTATACCATAAACTTTGAGAAGTGTCATACGAAAATAAAAACTTGGACCATGTGAAAGAAGGTGCTAAAAACAAACAAACAAACAAAAACAATCAATATGTTTGCCAAAGAAAAGACTGGAACATGGCGAAGTACAGGAGGGAATTCTGAGAAGCTTTGCTGCTTTTCAGGGCTCTGGCTTTTAGTATAAAGATATACCAGAGGGAAGACTTAGAACAACCCACACCTTCACTGGGGACCCTTTCTTCCATCAAGAAGACGTCTTCCCTTAGGCAAGAAAAGTCAAGGAAGTTTACCATCTTTCCTGCCTTTGATGCATCAATACATGGGCAAGGAATAGGGGACGCATCTGCTAGGAATAATTATTACAGCCACAAGGAAAAGGTCCACAAGACATAGCAAAAAGAATGTCAGGAGCCTACGGTACCCCCAGGCAGGGGAGCAGACCTCTGATGCTCTCCTTTTATTTGTATCAGGGAAGGAACTCAGTGACCCCTGAGCCCTAGCTCTCCGTTCACTTTTCCTGAGCAGCTGAAAGATGGGATGAGGCATATAAATCATGGACATCCCGTCCATGTGATCCATGGAAGAATAAAATCAGATCCAGTCGGAAACTATTTGGGGTAGATGGAATGCTGAGAAGGAAAGATTTCAGGTCATATTGACATATGACTAATGCAAACAAATTCTGCATATACCAAAGGAGACAAAAATGCAGATACTCATAACAAGCAATGTATATAGGGTTCCAGCTCCCCACCAGGCACTATTTGGTGTGCCTTGTCTCCTTTAGTCCTCATAATAGCACTACAAGGTAAGCATCATTATCATCTCCATGTTTACAGATAAGAAAACTAGGTTAGGAGCTTGCCCAAGTTAAACCAGCCGGTAAGAGGGAGGTCAGGACTTGAACACAGGCAGTCTGAGTCCAGGGCCTGTTCTCATCTGCTCTGCTCTTCTTCGTCACAAAACACACAACGTTGTAGGCACCTGCTTTGTACTCTCAGATTAAAGTGAATAGAAATTCACTGGCCATGCACCCTTTCTTGAAAGCTTCTGGAGGGAGGAAAACCAAGAAAAAGAAACATTTGTACTCAGGAATCAGGAATCCAACAGGAAGAGTGCAGTGGCCTGAAGAGGAATGTGAAAGAGAAAGGTTCGATTGATGGGCTTGACAACTGGAAAAATTATTGTTGACTATTTGATGGGTCTGTTAGAGCATTTAGCATTAACTGTAGGTATCCTATATAATGAAAGGGTAATATACAAATTGACCCTAATGATGGAATGACCAGTCACTATGATGCACACTGGCCATCAGGGGGCAGACGCTCAACGCAGGAGCTGCCTCCCTGTTGGTCAGTGCACTCCCACAGGGGGAGCTCCGCTTAGCCACAAGCCGGGCTGACACCTGCGAGTGCAGCAGGGGTGACGGGAGCCTCTCCCACCTCCTCGGCAGCGCTAAGGATGTCTGACTGTGGCTTAGGTCCGCTCCCCAGGGGACATCCCCCGAGGGCTCCCAGGCTGCGAGAGGCGCAGGCCAGGCTGAGAGACCCCCCTTTCCCAAGTGCATGAAAATTCGTGCACCGGGCCTCTAATATAGTAAATAAAGCAGACTTTTAAAATAAGACAGCTGTTAACAACAAGTTAGAACAACTTTCCCTGACATAGTAATGAGAGGGAAGTCTGATTATATAGTGGTGAATCAAATTAATATGGAATATGAATATGGTATTTAAATTGTACTATATAACAATAATATAAACACTGTTGACTTTAAATTTTTAAATGTAATTATTATGGGGATGATAAAGGAGAGGTTCGAGTGATGGCGCGAGAGCTACATCACCAACTTCTGTAATTTGGGTATGTCTGAAAGGATCAACCAAGAAATAATAGTGTGCGTGGTATTAGCAAATACCAGAAGAAGTAGTTAAAGTTGTTTGTGAGGAATGGGACCTCGAGGTGGGGTTAGGTGGGCAAGGGGAAGAGCTATTGTCTTTTCTCTGTAACATTTCTGTACTATTTGATTTTTTCAACTAGACTAAACCAAGAATACAGATGACATTTTAAAGGTTGTTAAAAAAAAAAAAAAAAAAAAACCTATGCCTTAAAAAGCACTTACTTATAAAATGTTTTTCCCAAATTGCTAAAGCATCTAACCAAAAACATTTTAATAAGAAGCTCTATAAAACACTTCTTGGAAATTAAATATTTTTTCATATATAGATGTAGCTCCAGGGAGCCTTACTTTCCTTCCTCTTACAAGAAAGGCAACAAACAGTATGAAACTTTAAAAGTGTGTTTTCTTTAAGAAATTGAATCACAGACGTCCACCCTGTAATTGTGTTCTTTTTGGTTTTTCAAGATACTAAAGAAGGAACCTTTATTTTCGTGCCTGGGTGGAGGCGTAACAAAGCCATTTGTAGGATGGATTCAGCTGCAGAGCAGGGGGCCCTTTTGACTAAGAAGGGTTTCTGTACCGAGGCCACAGAGTGAGTTTCCATTGCCGCACTGTCTGTATATTCTGTTTATATGTGAACTCGAGGTGCTTACCACAGATTGCTCCTCGTCATGTTTTCCTTCCACATCATGGTTTTCCTGGACCTGTTGGTTCCTCTTTGGGGTCCCCTGACGACCTCCTCGCATGGAGCAAGCAAACAGATCTATTGTGCAGCAGGCTGAAAAGGGAGAACATTGCAAACACATGGTGCCAATTTAGGAGTCTGCACCAAGAGACCCAAGATGACTGAATAAAAGAGGCGTGGCATGAGTTTTTCTGAGAGAAACTGGTGGGCACAGTTGGGAATTTAAGAAGAAATAAAAGAAACCCGAAGGAACCTGGGGAACCCATACGGTGGGCTTTGAACTAGAGGTTGCAAATCTTGGTCTTAGGAGGCCAGAGACAGGCAGGGAGATAACACCCTCGGCCTGAGAATGGGGATGGTCACTTAAGAAGCAGCAGTAAATAACTGGAACATGATGGTGGTGTACACAGGAGTTTATTGTCAAAGAAAGCCGTTAGAGTCATTTGAGCTGTTCCAGACTGTGGTAGCAGAAAGGAGAAGGGTTTGTACTGGAAATATTGTGGAAGCAAGACTTGGGGTGGTGGTGCATAGCTGATCTTGGCTGCATTCTTTGGGAAAGAGCCATTGATGAAGATTACACCAGCTTTCTCTTTGCTTGAGAGATTGAGAAGTATGGGAACCTAAAAAATATATAAGTATCTCTGCCTGGCTGGTGCAGCTCAGTGGTGAAACATCGACCAATGAACCAGGAGTTCATGGTTCAAGTCTCAATCAGGGCACATTCTTGGATTGCAGGCTCGATCCCCTCTAGTGGGTGTGCAGGAGGCAGCTGATCAGTGACTCTCTCATCATTGTTTCTATCCTCGTCTCCCTCTCCCTTCCTCTCTCTGAAATCAATAAAAACATATAAAGATATATATTTCCGACTTCCCCATGCTTGAATAAAGCTGGCATTGAGCCTTGGCGGGGTAACTCAGTTGGTTAGAGCATCGTCCCTATATGCCAAGGTTGCGGGTTTGGTCTCCAGTCAGGGCACATACGAGAATCAACCAATGAATGCAGAAATAAGTGGGAGAACTAATTGGTGTGTGTGTGTGTGTGTGTGTGTGTGTGTGTGTGTCTATATATACATCTCTCTCTCCCTCCCTCTCCCCCGCTTCTTCTCTCTGTCTAAAAATTAAAGAAATTAAAAAGCTGGCAATATATAAATTGTCTGATTTCTGAGCACTGAAAAGATTTTAACGACGATTCATATGGTATTGGTCATCTGTTTTATGTTTTTTGTTTTCTAAATATGTTTTTATGGTTTTTGGAGAAGAAGGGAGAGGGAGAGAGAAACATCACTGATGAGAGATACTGGTCATCTGTTTTGCCCTTCCTGCAGGAACACATCTAAATCCTAGGGGGTTTACACAGCACCTGGATAGGGGCTGCGTATAAGTCAGTTTGTAAATGCGGTGTGGCATTGCCCTAGTGGCCAGTGTACATAATCTGTGTAAAGCCAGGCTTCATAAGAGAACTACAGATGTTGATGGCTTTTGGTTTTCTGACTCATCTTGTTCCCTTTCAACATTCTTAAAACGTTTATCCAACGTTATTTGTAGTTTGGCGGTCTTCTTTTCATGCCCATTAAGTTAAAACAGGACTCTGCTTCAAACTCAGCAGGCGCTCCAGTGTAGACAGTGCCCGGATAGACAGCTGGACCAGAATGACAGGCCCGACTCCCCACCGCCACCTGTTGGTGGCTGGCAGAATTGACATGCTTTGGCTCTGGCTGATTTGAGTGGCACATGCAAGTTCTCCCGTTGAGTTTATAAGCAGAGGAGTGTCTTTGATTTCAAAGTGACCTACTACTCAGGCAGCCAGCAACACTTTTCTTTTTCTTTCCTCTGTCGTGAAGGTGTGGCGGGGCACGCTGGCCCGCATGCGGTACAAGAGGACCAAGGCAGCCCTGACCATCATCAGATACTACCGGCACTACAAGGTGAAGTCCTACATCCACGAGGTGGCCCGGCGCTTCCAGGGCGTCAAGACCATGAGAGACCACGGGAAGCACGTGAAGTGGCCAACCCCTCCCAAAGTTCTTCGCCGCTTCGAGGAGGCCCTACAGGCCATTTTTAATAGGTGAGAACTTGTTCGTATGTGCTGCCTCCGTTTATGGCAGCACCCTTAATGTGTCATATAAAAATCACAGTTCTTCGACCAGGAGACTGGCTCAGCTATTTGCTGTTTGAATATGTCTCCAATTTTGTAGACTTCGATTTCACAAGGCAACGGTTCCCCTCTCAAAATAGCAGAACTGTCCATTGATTTTTTTTTTTTTTCCCTGTAGCCATATAGACAGCAGCATGCTGCCACCCCTGGATCAAGCCATATTGAAGATGTTATTGGCAGGCAGACTTTACTTTCTTCTCGTCGCAAAAAATAGCTATTAAAATCACCGCAAATAACTCAAACTAGGATTTCTGTCCATCCTTTCTGCACAGTGGTTGTCTGTCCTGCTTACCTTAAATTCACAAGGAGTTTATAATACATGCCACTGCCCAAGTCCCACCTCCAGAAATACCTGTCTAATGGAGCTGGGGCATGGGGGCCCAAACAGAAGTCCTTTTTAAAGTTTCCCAGGAAACTTTAAATTACAAGGGAGGAAACATCTGTTTTAGAGCACGCAGTATTTTTTAAATAAACAAGCGCCTAGGTAAAATTTGATACCTTTCCATCCAGTCTTCATTTTTTTAAAGTGCCCTGAATCTGAGTGTTTAATTATTTATAACTCCTTGCTCCTGATTGTTTGAGCTTATTTGTTGCCAGTGTGCACCAGATACATTTAGCTTTGTCTTAGGTGCAGCTGTCTAGTCCCATAAGCTAAGCTAATGGTCCTCAAATGTGGTCATTTGGTGGCATAATGGTCCACATGGAACACTGAAGTCATTGAGCGATTGGGTGTAAATTGGTGGCAGATGTCAAAAGATAAAAAAAGTGCATGGGAAGAAAATTTTATATTACATATCTCATTTGCTTTACAAGAAAAAGAATGACTGCTCATAAAAAGAAAAAAATCAAACAGTGTAGATTTATTGAAAGCAAAAGTACCTAAACTCTCAGGTGTAATGCTATCAGTGTTAGTTGTAGTCTTGGCAGTCTTTTTAATGCACGGATAAGTGTTTCTTCATGACTTGTATTCTCTGCAACCTGCATTTTTTACATAATAATCTAAAACGTAATTAAGTGATACATGACTACATGCGCATTTTTTTTAAAATGAAATAACATAAAAATATATAGGATATAAAGTTGAAATCCTCCACATCTCCTCTTATCTCTCCCCATTTTATTTCTTTCCCCTGAAATAACCACTCATTACCAATTAGTTTATATCCTTCTACATCTTTGTCCTTGCACTTATAAACACACACACGTAAGAGACAGCATGATATAATGGTTAGGAACACAAACCCTGGAGCCTGGGTTCATATTCTAGCCCTGCCACTCAACAGCTGTGTAACCTTGGGCAAATTCGTTAACCTCTCTGTGCCTCAGCTTCCTTATCTGTAAAAGGACGGTAACAATAGTCCCTGCTCATAGGGTTGTTGAAAGAATTAGGAGTAAATACCTATATAAAGCATTTGCTCATCCTATGAATGCATATGCATCTAGAGTCACATATAATTTGGAATTTTTCCCCTTTTACACAAGCGAGATTATAAGTATGGTTATATGACTTGACTTGGAAATAAGTCTTGAAGACCTGTGCATGACAACAAGTAAAGATCTGAGTAATATTTTTAATGGATGCAAAGAATTATTGGTTTCGATTATGTTGCTCTGTGGCCTGTACAGTCTTCCTTAGATTTTTGAGGTTTTATGTATGGCCTAGAATTGATTAGTTTTTGTAAAATTTAGTGGCAAGATACACTCAGCACCTGCTGTGCCACAGGCACTGACCTAGGTTCCAGGTATATGGTGACAAACAGCCAAGATGCAAACGACGGTCCCAGGCATCTTAGGGCTTGCAGTCAATGAGCATTTTGAAAAGACTGCGCCTGCT